TTGGATCATAATCCTCCAAAGATCGCAGGCTAACGATGCCATCTAGAGTTGATTATGGTCTGGATAGGTTAATTAATGTCTAATTAATAATTTAGATAACATTTCAGGCCTAAAGAAAGACCTGCAATAGACAGATTTAGCTCTTGCATAATGTATGTTTAAATATATAAATGAACAAACTGTTAAAATTGCTCAATCAGAAACAATATAAATATAAATGTGGGTTGGTTTTAAGGAAATGTTCAACCAGGCTGATTATTTTGCTTAATCATAATAAATATTCTGTCAAAAAGTAGGCCTACTTTTGTGTTGAAAAATTAAAAAATTATTAAACATTAAAGACCAAATAGGCTCATTTTATTAAATAAATGTCATTACAAAGGAGTGCACCATGTTCCTGTCCATCCCTTATTCTCAACCAATCCAAACTAAGAATAAGATTACTAATTATTTCGACAAACTATTGACGTCAGAATGCAATAGCCATACAAATGACATGCAGCTTATGGGTACTTAAATAAGACCTGCAAAATTAGGAAAGTGACCTATTTTAAAATTCCCATCCCACCCAGATGACCAGCAGAAAGGAACACTGGTGTACCAGTCATAAAATATAGACAAATTTAAGTTCAGCAACAAGACTCTTGCTTTCCGACTATTTCGGTAATGATAGTTGTGTGCGGGGTTTGTGTGGTGAATTGTTGGGGCAACACTTAGTTAATGTTTAAAACCAGATGCCATTCCAAATATGTTCAGCTTTAGTCACAAAGAATAAATTGTCGGAAACGTTAATTGGAAGTTGGAAAAAATTATTTTGAACAACAAACTATTCTAAAGGTAAGTGAACTAGATCTGGACTAGATGATGTAATACGTAGTGCACTATGATGTCACACATGTTGGCGTTCACAACCAATTTGTATCTTCATTTTAAATGTAACAATATTGTTTTTAATTATCAGAATTATATACAATATGTCTTGTTTACATGAACCTTTCCTTTAAAGAATAAATCCAGCCATTGTATTAAGCATTTGAAAATATTGGGGTAGGTACCCCGATATTCAAGACCATTAAAAATTTGGAAATTCTATAGGATTTTTGCTGATGCCCCAATCACCAAGTCCATCAAGTTTTAAAATTTCTAGTCATAACAAGATTTCATAAATTGAGGCCTGAATAAACAATTACAGCAAATTATTAAATATTCTGTGCTGTGTTTTCAAGCTTTAACTGCAAAAATGCGATGGTGGGGGGAGGTAGAGAGAGAGAGACAGAGAGAGGGAATATGTCTACATTGCAGTTTTCAGAAGACCAGCCACAAAAAACAAGAGCATTACTAACGCTGAAATATACGTCCACATTCTTGCTTTGATTGATATGGTACTTTTTAAAATGAAGAGAATGAAAGATGAAATGGTTGCAATGAATGTAATATGACAAGAGGCAAAGAAGGTTAGACATTGGGTTTGTTTTACCAAATTTACAGACTATATATTAACAAAAAAGTTGGTGTGCCCCCCGCCCCAGGGGGTCGGCGCATGCACCAAAATAAATAGTTGCTGTCTTTACTGTATACAGAATTGCAGAATTGCAGCCTATAGACAATAAATACAGATAAAAATTAACAAAAAAGTGGATGTGGTACCACACCACTGGGGGATGGGACATGCACCAAAATAAATAGTTGCTATCCTTACAGTATAAGGAATAAATACACCAAGTTCCAAGATGATCCATTTAGAATTCCAGTCTGTAGACAAAAACCACAAAAATTGAGTGTGGCTCTGCCCCTGGGGGTTGGACATGGATCAATATAAATAGGTACAACCCTATGCTGGATCATTCCGAATTGGATCCAAATCTGTTAATAATTGCATCCTGAATATCATTTACAGCCAAATTATCAACAAAACGTGGGTGTGGTACCAACATCAATAGTTGCCATCCTTAGGGTATAAGGAATAAGTATACCAAGTTCCAAGATAATCCATTTAGAATTGTGGCCTTTGGGTGCTAAAAGCAAAGTTGGGGCGTGACCCTGCCCCTGGGAGTCGGGGTGTGCAACAAAATCAATAGTTGCAACCCTTAGGCTATAAGGCATACATATGCCAAGTTCCAAGCAGATCCATTCAGAATTGCGGCCTGTATAAGATTAACACAAAAATGGGATGTGGCTCTGCCCCTTGGTGTCGGGATATGCAGTTGTTGTCTTTAGTCTATAGGGAATACATATGCCAAGTTCCAAGACAATCCATTAAGAATCGTGGCCTGCAGGCAACACACAGACACACATGCAGCAAAAACAATAGGGATGATCCTTAGGGTATAAGGAATAAGTATGCAAAGTTTGAAGTGGATCCGTTAAGAAATGCGGCCTGTGGACGACAAACTGATTCAAAAAATGGGTGTATCTCTGCACCAAAAACAATAGGGATCATTCTTGGGAATAAGGAATAAGTATGTAAAGTTTCATGGTGATGAGTTAAGAATTGCGGCCTGTAGGCGACACACAAAAAGAAAATGGGCATGGCTCTGCCACTGGGGGTTGGGCATGCACCAAAAACAATAATGATAATCTTAAGGGTGAATAGGTATGTAAAGTTTCAAGTGCATCCATTAAGAAATGTGACCTGTAGACAACAAACAGACACTCAAACACACACACACACACAGAGACAGGGGCGACAGCAATATACATAAACAAACATTATAATGTGAACCTATAAAAAATAATAATAATAACCAGTAACATAACCACTTATTCTTCCTCCTACTAATCAAGAAATAATTTATGATTTAAGGTAAAAGCTATATATCACACCTCTTTCAAAATTACAAAACTTTGCAAAACTGTAAAATTGAGTTCCACCACTTGAATTGAAACCAGCCATGTTGTTCCATGGTGGAGACTGAACATGTAATTTCCCAAAAGCCTTAACCATATTTGGATTGTCATCAGCAAATTGTGGTGGCATATATTTATCATAAAACTTGGGATAATTATACAAATACTGCTTTCCTGAAATGTAAACAAGACAACAGTGAGGCTGATATCCCCTGCCAAAATCCAAAAATAAATAGATTACACATATTAATTAATTGCACATTTATCTTTTTCAAAAGTATCGAACAATCAAATTGATTATCTATACTTAGTCTTATCATAAAATATTCACATTCAAACTCAGTCAAGGTTTTGAAGTACCTGGTAGTGAAACTATATACACTAAGTTTCATCACTTTCCATCAGTTAAAATCAAAGTTATCTTGTTCCAAAGCATCGAACAATGAAATGTTAATCATTGAACTCAGTCAAGACATTCACCTAATGAACATCTACACCAATTTTAAACATTCTACCTCAGTTAAAAGAACAGTTGTTATGTTCCAAAGTCTTGACCAATTAAATTGCTTATCGCTACTTAGCCCAAGTAGAAAATTCTCATCATGGAAGTTAGTCAAGATATTGATATAATGAACTCAAAGTTTCATCGGTCTCGCCCAATTAGAACCAAAATTATAGTGTTCCATGGTCTCAACCAATAAAACTGCTTATTCCTGCTTAGTCTAAGGCATTCACTTAATAGACACCTACACCAAGTTTGAACATTCTACCTCAGTTAGGAAAGTTATTGTGTTTCAAAGCCTCGACCAATCAGATTGAAGTCTCTACTTTGCCTAAGCAGAAAATGCTGAGCATAAAACTTTGTTAAGTAAGGTATTGATGTAAAGAAACTATACATGAAGTTTCACCACTATCACTGAATTAGAAACATAGTAGTTGAGCTTCAAAGTCTCAACAAATCAAATTGCTTATTGCTCTGCATATCCTGAGCTGAAAATGCTCATTATCGAACTTAGTCAAGGTACTGATGTGACGACACTATCCGCCAAGTTTCATCACTCTCACTCAATTTGAACCAAAGTTATCGTGTCCCAAAGCATCAACCAATCATTTTGCTTATCTCTACTTACCCTAAGCAGAAAATGCTCACCTTCGAACTCCATCAAGGCATTCACGTAATAAACACCTATACCAAGTTTGAACATTCTAGCTCAGTTAGAAGGAGAGACAGACAGGTCCATTTTAATAGTCCCATAGTTAAAGTTACAAACACTTAAAGTAGCTAAGTCCCTAACTCAATATCATCCAAAATCTTCAACATTGAAAACAAGATTTTTTTTGCAATTTAAATCAGCATTGGTGTTGTGATCTTACCTGGAAAAGATGGGCTTCTGATATCCAATATTTAAGACAAAATAAACACATTACCATTGGTACACGAATCGTGTACCATAATGAGTTTCAGCGCCATTTGTAACAAGGTGCTCAAAGAATGGGGCTAGACATATTCCACAAGTCGATCATGTCAAACGGTGATAACATATTCTTATTTGGAGAGCATGCGCAATAAATAATTTTGGTGTTGACTGGAATAACCAGACGCTAGAAACTGACTTGCGGTTGAGACTTCTGGCGTATTTCGCCGAACATAACTAATGACAATTCACAGTAAAACAGACACGATTGAATGTAAAACAGTTTATATAAATTCATATTACATTATTATATGTGTTGCGACCCATTTGTGCCAATTTCTAGGTCCAAAATATTAGCGATTTAGCTCCTTTAAAGGTAGCTAACATTATATTATTTGGTGGATCTAAGTTTTTCATCCTACCCTGAAAAGTTGCAGTGCTCACGCAAATATTCAAATTTAAATAATGTTTCACGTCTTGGCTGATTAAATTTTGGTATTGTTATTAATTACAACCTTGCTCTACAAGTAAAAATGGCTGCCTGTGACATGAGGGTATTTCTGTCGTCTCTATCTTAACAAAACTGAAACAGAGCAGGTCATGTGATAGCATTTGATCTAACAAGCTCAGAGTCTATATATGAAGAACAGCTATCACAGTACAAGCACAAAGTTTTGTATACACAGTGATGTTATGTTTTGTAAGACTACATACCTATCTTGTCAACTGTCTCATAATCAATTGTGATACATAAGAAGTTCTGACCATAAATTGTCGCACTTTCTGGCCAGGTGTAAGATTCACTTTTACGTGGAGGGTATTTGGGTACACTGTGTACCAACCAATAGCCTTGATTTTCATTACTTGCTATCACACCTATAATAAACATTTATCTTAAATTTTATGAATTGTTTTTTTTTTCAAACATTAAAGCCTGCAGCCACCTATAATCTCCCAATTAAGATCCCTGTATCAAATATGATATTTGCATGTATTTTATGACGAAAAATGATATCACTCACGTCCTATTCCTCAATGAAGGCCCCCATCACATGCACCTAAAAATAACAGGTTAGTCTTATTTATGATTACTTCTGATATTGTTAACATTCCATCAGAAATGTAATTAGAATAGTTCTTATTATGTGCTGTTTCTGGCCCTGTGACAACAGCATAATAGTCCTTTAATGACCCAATTCCTGACCTCACTCCTCTCAACACCAAATTTATCTATCAATTTTCATTTTGTCCCTCATTCTACAATATTATATATACAAAGCAGCAAAAAGAAGCGTCAGGTTGGTATGTTACTCTGAGTCTGAATAGACGCATTGCATAAATCTTGCCAAATGTTTTTATTGTATATATGTGACCACATCTCCAATTTCGCCTGAGCAATAAGGCCCCTTCCCAAACAAAGAATTGAACCCAGGAAATGTTCTCAAAAACGCAACCTGACTTCTGAGATGGTAATGTGTTCTCCATCATTTTCACTTAACTCATGCTGCATGTGCTGTTCACCGGGACCAGCCCTATAAAATGTACCCCCATACTTGGTTGAATTATCCACACTACAACGTCAGCAGCATGCCACGACTCACGACAGCTCAGAGGAACCAGGCCCTTGGAAGACTCGATGCTGGCCACACTGCCCAAACCGTTGCCAATCACTTCCAGGTCAATGTGCAGACCATCTACAGGTTCAGCAATGCTTTCGGGCCACCAACACCACAGATAATCACCCCCGAACTGGTAGACCAAGGGTTACCACAAGGCGACAAGACCACCATGTTGTGCGACAGCACGGGCAGAATCCCTTTACACAGACATCTGAGACGGCACGTCAGACAGTGGGAACACACGAAAGACCCATCAGTACCGATAAGTTCACAGATGAGAGTCAGTTCACAGATGGCAGGATCAGAATATGGCGTCGACGTGGCCAGCGTTATTCTGAGCAATAGGTCATGGAACGAGACTCATGGGCAGATCCAAGCATAATGGTTTGGGGTGGAATCAGCCAGAACCAGAGAGTGGGTAATGTGGTGTTCCAAAATCTTTGTCCAGGGAGAGGAGGTGGCATCACAGCAGTGTGCTACATCGATCAAGCTCTCAGACCCCACGTCATACCACATTTCGCATGTCATCGAAACAACGTTTTCCAGCATGACAACGCCCATGCCCATACCGCCAGAGTTACTCGGGACTTTCTACGGCAGAACGGTGTCAACGTTATGCACTGGCCAGCCCTTAGTTCGGACTTAAACCCGATTGAACATCTTTGGGATGAAATTCAGAGGAGACTTAATAACATTGTACTGAGACCAAACACAGCTGATGGATTGTGCCAAGCTGTGGTTCCAGGTGCCAATGGCGTTCATCAATCGTCTGATTCACTCCATGTACAGACGCTGCGCTGCTGTTATTGACACTCGCTGTGGACACACCAAATACTGATGTATAGACTGTGTACACACACTAAACCTTCTCGTAATGTCTTGGAATTGTGATGAATTAATCACTAATGTGTCAACATACTGTTTACAAAAAATTGCTTTGATCTATTTAGTAAGTCGTTTTCTAGAATGATTTGATTAAAGTGCCTCTGATTTTGAAATCGTACTGACGTTTTTTTTGCTGTTTAGTATATTTTGTATAATGCAGATTAATGATTATAGGCTAACTTCTACCTTTTGTATGGCCATTGGTGACGGATCCATATTGGGTTGGTGGTTCATCATTATACATACCATATAATATTGAGTCATCCTAAATTAAAATAACAATGTAATTTTGCAATGAAATATACTCCCAAAGCAGCTAGTCATCCGAGCAGTCGATAAATGTTGTTGCATTATAATTTGTTGCGTAAATAAAAAGTAAAATCTCTAATATAATGTAAAATGGTTGATTTTGGTGAACATTAGCCTTGAAGGAACTAAACTGCTTTGATTTAGATCAAAATAAAATGCTAATTTGGGTTTATGTGATGTCTTATTTCAAATGTTTCAAGAGATTTTACCAATTTTAGTTTACATTATGACTTGCTGTGTCAACGGAGGGACATAAAATCAGTTCTATCTCATCATTAGCTTTATCTATAGACATTAAATTTTATTAATTAAACAAAGCCAGATTGTCATCCCACAAAAGAGAACAACATATAAAATCAAATAAAATTGGCAAATCAAAGAGATTTAGCCATTTTAAGGGTCATAAAAAATCACTTTTTTGGCATTTTGGAAAATTAAATATCTGAATCAAGAGATTTAATCCTGAACTTAATATAGAGACGAGGGATTATATCTTCCAAGGTCAAGGAGTTATGATATCTTAAATAATCCTTAATCAATATCTTTGATGTCCATTTTGTATTGTTATTATTGTCCTTTTTATTAGCCCTTAGACGGTTTCACATTAGTTACTGTTTTTGTTACCTTGTTGTATATAATTTGATTTCTTGCTATTATACTGTCATTACTTACTTGAGAACAACAAGAGGAACTTGTTGAAAAGTAGTGTGAAATAAAATCAGTGATTGTTTTCCATATAAATTGAGTTTTTATATTAAATTTTGCAAATAAACTTTTCGTATCAATACCTTGGCAGTGTAAATCTGTTGTAGAGTGTAATAAATGGCATCATTTGAAGAGTTCAAAGAATATTTTGATAGTTGAAATTCTGGATTATTGGCATCCAGATAAAAATGACCTAACCCATGATGAAGAATAGGGCTCGATTTATTTTGATCTAATTTTGGTAACTTGTATACAACAAACCTGAAAAACAATATTAAAATATAAAAATTTTGGGGTAATCTCCAAAGCTTAAATTGATCAGCTGTTATCTAGTCATAGTCAACATATTGTATCATACATATTAGTCATTATGTGTCATATAAACTCATAGATCGTTTAAGATTAAAATCAGAAACATATACATATTTTTGTACTATCGGGTCAACAAAGTAATGTAATAATTATTTTCAGTATTTTTTCCTTTTCTTTGATGTATTCTGGTCCCTATTGGCTTCAACAGGGTGTATCATGAAATTCAACTTTTTCACTTTTAGTAGTATAGCCAAGACAAGTGTTCACAGCACGGTTATGAATTGCGCTGTGTCAATGATCATTCAATAGGCACTGTTAATGATTTTGTGTTGTATCCATTGAACATAGATGTGTTTGTTTGATTATTTTAAATCATAATGAATGATTTGGCATTAGCTAGCTGACAATGTATATAAACATGATATCTATATGAGAATATAAAAATAATACATTTTTCTGATAGTATACAACATTAAAAAATATCATTACGCGAAGTATGTCCTTTACAAATATTTACATTTTTTTCTCTCTCATTCATATTTATTATATACGGAATTGTTTAAAACTTCATATTTATAGCTAAAATCATCCATTCTTATTATAATGACCATAAAAAGAAAAGATTTGTAAAAATTCTCGGAATAACTTGGGGTTTCATATATAGTCCAGGAGCTAGGCGAGTTTTGTTCAACATGGAAGATGCAGAAGATTTAGGATGCTAGTGGTGTATGGCTGGGATGGGAGACCCCAGAAACCCAATTCTTAAGTTGTCAGTGGTGGATGTGGTAGGGGGTGCCACCCATAGTACCAACTCAAAATTGGTTTATTCAACATATGGAAGCTGCAAGTTTCACAATAGCTACGACAACGTAACTAAAAACGCTGAGATATACTGATGTGCTTGTTTTTAGCTACGATTGGATGCCTTTAGTTCCAAGTGGCAAACTCAATTTCTTTATTAATGTATGTATCATCTTAAAAATAAGTTAATTTTATACTATTAGTACTTATTACACATACGCAGTCCAATCTACTGAAACAACATTCATTTATTAGCAAATATTGACAATAAAGTAAATCAAGCGTTGTTTTTATCAAAATTGATTCGGACGTTCATAATTACGCCGTAATACCTACTGCGCAACTCTGATCAGATGGGTACTTTGATTGGCTATTGCACACGAGGCCCCTCCTTTATGTGTGTACAGACGTAAATTTAAAATGTCGGAAAAGGCGATCTACTGTCGCTTTGATTTAAAAAGAGGGGATTTGTACCCGTTTCAGGTAGGATTATATGCTTAATTGTAGTTGGGTGTGGCAGAAATATTATAAATAACAATAACCAATCGTTGTTTTGATTAAAAATATTGTCAATTTTGTTTACAAATGCAATAATGGCCTCATCTCTTATCTCGAAACACGGAGGGTTGAGAGATTAAGGTTTGTTATCTAGTTTCACAAGTGCCCTGAATAAGGAAATATAATTTAATTAAGAATGGGATTTTTGGTGGAAAGGTCATTTAAGAACAAGGTCAATTAGTACTAATTACTGATTTATTCAGCATGAAAGGTGCATCTGTGAAACTAACATTACAATGGACTGATAGATAACACAAGTTAGAATCACTAAATTAAGAACAAAATTTGTTGTGAAAAGGCCACTGAATCTAAGAGGTCAAAGGTCACCAATTAGAATGTTTCCGTTCACCCATCACCACTCCAATTGGACCTTCAAACAACCACTTATCTATAAAACACCTCTATTTCAAGGGATAAAAAGAGATTTTACAGTCTTATTTTAAATGAAATGGTGTTTAACGTTCTGCTTTTCTGCACCGACTGGCCTGGGCTAATGAAAAATGACATACAGTGTGCTATGAGGGACATTTTGCATGGACAGGGGTACTATGACCTATACTCATACTCTTATTTTAAATGTCAAGAAAGGAATTCGTTTACGTGCACGCAAATACATGTATGTATGCGGGACATCAGATTTTAGTCCCATCAGAATGACTAGACACTGTTCCTTGCCAGACCCTCCGTCCTGCACCACTGACAACATTGTGGCCACCACCTGAAGTGAACCCTAGATCTTCAGGTTAGCAAACCAGCATCTTACTCACTTTGCCACCACAGACCCTGTCCTATTTTGATCGGAATACCACAGTATGAAATGATATAACGGATGTGTGGCCTTTATAATATGATGCATAAACACACTTTAAAGTTATATAGGCGACATTGATAATAGTTGTAATACTCATATTCACATCCAAACATAATGAATACATTCGACAATAAAGGGCTCATAATCTAGGCATGACAATTTTCAATTGAAAAGTGAAATTCGTTGAATGAGTTACGCCTGTATGGCAAATCCAGCGATTACTTCCGAATGGTTCAATATTTTTAGTTCATTTCATCACACTTTTGATCTTTAATTTGTTGATTTAAAACCCTAATTATCAACAGGAAGGCTGCCATACCATACACACCACTAACTTATGAATGAATATTTTTGGTGGTAAATGAAATTAAGAACAGCAGGTGTCCAATACATCAAAAATAAGTGACAAGCAGTAAAATATGGCCGGAATGCTAATTTTTATCTTGATATTAACAGTGATACAGTAATTATCGCCCACTGCCTTCATACTAAAAATCATTTAAAGGGACAATAACACTCTTTGCTGGCTTGACAGCTCCAGAAAATAAAAAATAGCCTTATTCTAAGTACTAGATATGTTAGTGTCCTACCTGTTGTGTAAATTATCCATTAAATCCTATTTTACTTGTCCAAAGGGTTTAAAAATATTTTTAAATCCAAGTCACATTTGAAAAGCTTTACGTCAGGCTTTTCAAATCATTTAGTTGAATTTTTCCAATTTTTTAAATTAGGTGTGTTAAGATGAAATTTGAATCATCAATTAATTGGAATATTGTAAAATAGTACAATTTGTTGACCAGAATAAAGATTGGGACATATTATTCAGTTACAACAAGAGTGGTATTGGGTTTTTAAAACATAGACCTATGTCATTTTATTGCAGACCCAATCAACCTAAATTTAACTTTCCTCTTCATCTGAGGAGAGGCGACTGTCTTCATCAAAGGAAGCAATGTCAAAATCATCTTTAGAGATATCCGAATAGGATTCCTCAATTAAAGAATGTAAATCAGTTTATAAACTTTATGTACATTCATATTACATTATTGTATGCGTAGAGACCCATTTGTGTCTGTAGGTAGGACAGGGATCGATACTGGATGCAGCGGCAGCTATGTCATGAAACAAACAATAAACAAGATATAATTTGATATTTTTTATTTTAAATTAAACAATGGATTCTGGTAATGTGACATGTGCCCTTACTTTCTCAAATAAATAAATGATTTGCCCGAAATACTAAATCGAAATCATGAAATGTATACGCCAAAGTCTATTTCTCAAACAAAAGAATGAATTAATCCACTGTGGTGAATCGATTCATCGATCCTGTACAGCAGGTTAACCTACAATTAAAAACAAAATCACCGAATTCGTCCTCACGAATCAAGTGACTAAATTACGATACGGTTAAGTATGTGCATCGATTCAGCGCTCCCCACAGTGAAGCAACAAGTAGATATTTATTATACAAATTTCCCCCTGAATCTATTATCTAAGAGTAAGAAATGTGCTCAAACAATCTAGCCCAAATGAAAGAAAATGAAAATCAACACAATCTGGTTGATATGAGGTGATTATCGACTCTGACTACCGGTCTGTGTCTTACATATGATAAGATTACCTTACCTATAACGTCCGCTTCCACCGAAGGTGATATCACAGACAAGTTGTCTTATTTTTCATTTTTGTTATCTTAGTGCACGCGCAGGGGTCTTTCCTGTGGGAGGAAACCAGAGTACCCGGAGTAAACCCACAAGGTTGAGAAGGCGCTCCTATCTCCAAGCCACATACACTCACACCAGGGATCAAAACCACAACCGCAAGCCAGAGGTGACCAGTCAGCTCGAGGTCGAACCACGGCACACTAGATCACTAGGCCTATCCCCCCTCCTCCCACAATGAATGATACGCACCAAGTTTTATAGTCGAAGCATGCACGACGGTTGCACTTGCACAATAATTGATTGGCTTGCATAGTGCATACGCCAAGCAAGTATAAATTGAGGGGTTTAGGCGACTAGTTTGAAACTTTTTATGCACATACTACATACTGACATAGGGCGACCCTACCACATTCCCTACTACAGTGTTTATTGCTAGGTGACAAAAACAAAATTAGCGATTTAGCTCCTTTAAAACGTATGTCTTTAATGCTATATTATAACAACCAAACTGTTAATTATTCAGGGTTTGATAATATTGGAAGTATTAAAAATATGATGAGTTCAAAATGTACGTCGGTTACCATGTAAATATAGGCATGGACCTTAAATTATAATACATTATTTTATAAGGTCCATGATATAGGCTACTGCCTGGAACCATCCATAAACATATAGATCGAATATATATCTCATTTTATATATTTTCATTTCATTATATCATGTTATTCCAATATATTATTCCATGTAAAATATATATTTTGTATACATGTATATTAATGTATGCGTATGTTTTGTATAATGGACGTAATAATATGCAAATAAAAAAGTTAAAGTTATACATACAGTATAGTTCTATATGCTGGAACCATGAATTATTAATACTTACCAGTCAACTGGTTTTCCTTCGTAATCTAAACACTGTAAACAATTTGACAAATCAGTATTTAAAAATAATAAACTCAAGGCGAAGACAAGTGGCTGCATATTTTCTGCCCAACTCGGTCTCATAATGTCCAATCAATGCGTGAGTAACTAACGTACGAAAATTAAATGGTAGCTGGCCTTTACTTCTCCGCAGGTAGCGTGTCTCTGATGTTCAGAATGCAATCAATGCTGTAAATACTACCTTATACTTTCGATTTCCTTTCCTTTCAGAAAAATCTAAAAATAAACCATTCTTATGACATAAGCCTCCTACCGGATATTAGATATCACGAGTGTCGTGATTCACCATTATTTAATTATTTTCTTAAGTCAAAGGTTATACTACGGTGGCTTAATATTTATTTAAATTAGAAACGCTCTTATATAGTGCCTCTAGATAATTAAGTCGAGCGCTCGAGATACTAAGTCGAGCGCTCGATTGAGATAATACAATCGAACACGGGTCAATCTGTATAATTTCGTGCATTATTTAATGATAAACTTGCAGAATAAATATATTCATTTGTTCGTTTTACGGGGATCACGTGGCTAAGTGGGTAAGACGCTAGCTCGCTAGCCTGGAGGTCGGGTGTTCGATCCCTGCATTAGCCGAGAAAGTTCATCCAGATTTTCCGGCGTGGTTCTCCCTTGTCTGTGATGCAGGACGGAGGGGCTGACAAGGAAAGCTGTCTAGTCGTTCGGATTGGACGAAAAACCGAGGTCCCGGTACACATTGGCGTGCACGTAAAAGATCCCTTGGCAGTTGGAATTCGATATAAGAGTAGGCCGTAGTGCCGCTGTCCGGGCAAAATTTCCCTCATAGCACACTGTATGGCGTATGCCCGTCTTCATTAGCCCAGGTTAGGAGCAGAACAGTAGGACGTTATATAAACTCCATTTCATTTGTTCGTTTTACAGCCCATCCAAAGCTGCAGTGACGGAGCGCCCCCCCCCCCCTTGACACACGCACACACACACACACACACACCCACACCCACACACACACACACACACACACTCGGACAAAAAAGGCATTAGGGAACAGATATAGCCTTTATGACCCCTCTCCTACTATTGTTTGGATCAAAATATTTCCTTTTTTTAAACAAAAAGTACAAGTGCTTTTGTTATCAAATGGTCTGCATTGATATACAGTCGTCAGTGGGTTGTTTAGATATTATGGCAGGAAGTTGGTTAAAAATGGAAAAGAAAACCGAAACGAAATTGAAATTTAATCTTAGTGCAGGATGATAGTTATATTGCTAACAGCTAACAACAATTGCTAGGGTACTTTCATATTTAGACGTGTTTTGTCTGATCCATATTGTAGAGATGAGTTAGTTTTTTTTTGTCGTGTAACATCAGATATTGAAATCGAAACATCAAACCATTTAGAGAGGTTAGATGAACGAATGGTTAGCGCGTGCGATCTGTGACATAAGGTCTATCATTGATTCATCTGGCGAGGTTTCGATTCCCCGGTTGTACGTGACAATGAGTTTGGTCGCCTGTCCAACCTCGTGGGTCTTCTCCGGGCCCTTCAGTTTCCTCCAACTGCTAAAGACCCCTAATGCTGGGTTTCGTGCACAAATATAACTGCCAATTGTCCTGTACAGAACGACTGTCCACAAAAGAAAATATTTCTTTTTTTCATAAGAGCTGCTCGCTACAAAGTGACGCATGAGACGGGGCACCCTCAGGCCCCTACCTTAATTAAGCTACAAGCTTAACACAATATACATCAAGCATACTAAAACTGTGTAACAAATAGCGTGGGTTTCTTGCAAAATTATAACAGTATCAATTGTCCACAAATATAACAGTGTCAATTGTCCACAAATATAACTGTGTCAATTGTCCACAAATATAACTGTGTCAGTTGTCCACAAATATAACTGCGTCATTTGTCCTGTATCCTTCGACTGTCCAGAAAAGAAAATATCTGTTATTCATAAGAGCTGCTCGCTACAAAGTGATCGACGCATGAGACGGGGCACCACCACCTTAATTAAGCTACAATCTAAGGTCTAGGTTCATCAGAAGAGTTTAGATGTTGAATTAACTTCAGCCAAAATAAATCAATACTTTCCTCACTCCATCCCCATTTTATATAGTCATCATCCTTTAAGATTCTATGAACGGTCTTAGTAATATTAACAATTCCCAGTTCCTCTAACAAAATCACAATCATTAAATCTCGTCTTTCACTTAAGATTCGTTCATAAGCTACACTTGCTTCGAACTCACAGTAATGATCAACAGCGAAAGTATCCGACATGCACAAGATGAATCTCCTGCTAGCATCCATATTCTCGATTATACTGTCTATTTTATTTCCAATCCCATCTCTCTGTGGGAGAAAGACGTGGAGATTCAACTCGTGTTCTAGTCTTGGTAAAATATTTTCCAAAATAAAATCTACATCGTCTTCACTACAGCTTAAATAGATATCGTACCGATAGCTCCGTCCTTCAGTGGCGAATCTTTGGAGCCTGATGTGGTGGTATCGGAGTATGTAGACGAAGTACCGAAGGTGCCAACGATATCTGTAAACTAGAGATATCGCAAGTATTAAAAGAAGTACTCCTATCGATACTGATGTTATTATCAAACTTATAACGGGGGTTAACAAACAAAAGCGATTACTTATAGGTGTATCAATAATCCTCATGCCCCGCCAATCACTAGGAGTTGAACATGTATATTTATTCGGGAACTTGTGAAGCTTTTCAGCAAAGCTCTTGATCTTCAGTAATCGCGCAAACCAGAGTAAATTCGCACAGGAACAAGAATAAGGATTGTATGATAAGTCAAGCCATGATAAACCTTGTAGTGTTTCATAAGAAAACGAATGTTTGTTAATTGTCGCAATTTGATTAGACGTCAAGTTTAATATTCGCAGCGACGTTAAGTTTCTAAAATAATCGTTTGTCCACCATGAAATATAATTGTAACTTACATCAAGAGACTCCAGCTTCGGCATTATTCTTGGAATAACAGGAGGTAATGATCCAATACCGGTATCAGAAAGATTTAGAACTTTTAATTTGGTCAATGTTGCAAAGAGTTCGTCGAAGTATTCGTCTGATTTTGAGTAAAGGTGGCTATTGGATAGTTCCAATTTTTCTAGGTTTGCGCAACTATTTAATGCCCCTACATACAAGTGATGCACGTGTTCGGCATTGCCCTTTAAATAAAGATTAATGAGGCTGGAACTATTAAAGGCGTGATCCCTGATCCGAAATGATGATCCTGAATTGTCGCTGATGAAAATGGTGTGCAAATTGGGGAGTCTGGAAAATGTATTTTCCCCCAATTCGTGTAATGGGTTACCAGAAATAGAAAAGATGTGAAGAAACTTCATACAATCTAGACCCAGTCGTGGCATAAATCGAATAAAATTGTCATCCATGTACAGACGTGTCAAATTAGGAAACATCGCGTTATTATCGGCACAGAACTTGGGAAAACTGACCAAAGCATTGTCTGATAAAACCAACTCCGTTAAGGTCGGAATCGGTTTCGGTTTTGGAATCGGTGAAAAATCCATCTCTTTTATCCAACACGTACGTAAACTGAGGACAGAGAGATTTTTCAGGTGAGTGAAGTCAGTGTGGTTGTAATAATCGATATAAGTCGAGTTCATTACAATTTTAGATACTGGACTGTTCTTCATCGCAGAGAGGAAGTATGTTTTGATCAATCTATCCTTAAACGTTAATTTCATCAATTGAAGCTCTTGAAGCTTCGGACTTATCACGCCCATCAAACAATAATATAACAGTCCATATTTTATTTCTTTCTCTTTATAAATTCCTAGTATTTGAAGCTGTTTTAAGCTACGGAATGCAAACCGCGAACAGTAGCTAAAATTATTTGCTTTTAAGTAAAGATGCGTCAAAGACGAAACATTAGAAAAGGTGTCGTTTTTTATATGTGGTAAAAAGTTATTCGAAAATGTTAGCTGTGAGATATTAGCGGGTAGTTTGGGAATGTAGGATAATAAGTGTCGATGCCCAGAACACACGGCAACATTCCCCGTACAATTACACATGTTATCTCCACAAGAGTAACTATCGATCAACACGTCGGGTATTTCGCGTAAGGTTCCATCTTGGTTCGCCTTTGATGAAAGAACAATAGAGGAATTAGCTGAAGTTCCATTAGGGTTTAGATGAATTCCCCGGCTATAGGCCGCATCAAGGAGAAAAATAATCCCAAGTACGCTTTTATAGATATCCATTGCGTCTTGTCTACACCTGTTTAACGGTAATAGTAGACTACAATCTAGAAAGGTCTTTTAAAAATGCATCATATAGACTGCATTGTTAATAAAAGTTACAACGGATGTATATATTTGTCACATCTGTCTATTATAAACGATGACCATTCCAAAAACATGATGTTCCAGACTTTCCCCGCGTTCATTAGTAACGACCAAACATTCCTGCTGTATTCAAGGAAAACATAAAAAGTTCGTGTTGTGGCACATATTCTGTGAAAATAGATTCTCGGTCAAAAAGTTTTTGTTGTGCCACAGATTCTGTGAATGAAGATTATCCCCCCAAAAAAATCTTGTTGTGGCATAACTTCTAAGAATATAGATTATCGATAAAAAGTTTTTGCTGTGACATTAATTCTTTAAACGTAGACACAGTCTGGTCACCAACTCTCTATAGCTGCGAGTTCATGACATTGTGGTGTATCCAATACAGGTGAGAGCCTTTGTTTATTCCTCGTGTACAAACATTGAACTATAATAATATAAAAACAATAGTTTACATACTAAAACATCTATAATAAATTACATCTATTGAGAGAGAGAGGGAGACTAACACATTTCGGGACTAACACATGGTTCAATTTTAATTCAATAATTCGCTCGCGCGTAGGTGTCTTTAGCAGTGGGAGGAAACCGGAGGACACGGAAAAAAAAACCCACGAGGTTGGACTGGCGACCTTACACCTTGTCACGTACAACCGAGGAATCGAAACCTCGCCAGTTGACTCAAAGACAGACCTTATGATACAGCGCGCACATGCTAACCATTTAAAAGGCGTCACGCTCTATTTTTTTAAACTTTGAAATAGACAAAAATGGTTCTAAAAGCATATATTAATGTACTATGAATGTATGTAAAGTGATTTATATTTACTTTTGGACAAAAAATATTTTAATTTCTAATCAATTATGTTCGGTGACATACGTGAACAGTTCAAATTTACACGTGCTAGGTGCATTCTTCACGTTTTTTATTTAAATTATGTTGTCCTTTGTGAATCAGCCTTTACTAATTATTTCCACATTGTATTGTAGGATATGTTTGTATTTGTTCATTACAAAATGGCACCCGAAATCATAGGGTACACGACCCGTGTACTGATTATAAAATGTTAAAATTGTGCCTTAAATATTGAATATTAGGATCGTGTATTTTCACGGTCAGATCACAGCATCTATATTGATTGAAATTGATCACAGCATCTATATTGATTGAAATTGATCACAGCATCTATATTGATTGAAACTGATCAATATTGAATTCTAATTCCTGTTTTTAATTTCGAATATTATGGAAATATTTAGTTAGAGACTTAGCTCCTTTAAAGGTGTAGCATCAAAACATTAAGTGTCATAAACAAAATCTGAGATTCGCCTGATTATTAAAAATTCAGCCTATAACCAACGTGAGGGGTACCAATAGATGTATGACTCGTAAAACAAATGGACTTACCTCTAAATATCAGTGAGTCGTACATATCGGTCGGTGCTTTTCAAGGAGTTAAATTAAACTACTTCAGTCCTCTCTTAGTATATCAGAATGCTTTGATTATCTGCTACTTGGCGTGTCTAAAGTTGTTGTATTTATGACTTTGTTCAAAATTAAATTCATACATCTGGATAAAGTAGTAAATTATTTATTTAATAGCTAAGACTTCCCGTTACATCATTTTAATAGCTCTTACTTCCCGTTACATCATTTTACCATTCATGTGACAGTTACAAGGAAATTATTTTCCCCGTGAATTCAAATCGGGTTATTGGGTCAGTCAAACAATTGGGGTTTTAGTCAGGGTTGAAATTTTGTGTGGTGTTAAAAGATGTTAGTTTATCCAAGTTATCATTTAGTACATAATGTTTGGTTGTATGGATTAGATAAAGAACAAGTGGCCCATTTAATATAAATAATACAGTATTTAAATGATTACTATGGAAACAATATGATTACTATATGAACAATAAAAACTATACAATATTCAAATGATTACTATGGTAACAATATCAAAAATACAATATTCAAATGATTACTATATGAACAATATAAATAATACACTATATCAAATGATTACTATAAATAATACAATATTTTAGTGATTACTATATTATGAACAATATAAATAATATAATATTCAAATGATTACTATATGAACAATATAAATAATACAATATTCAAATGATTACTATATGAACAATATAAATAATACAATATTCAAATGATTACTAAAAGAATACAATATTTAAATGATTACCATATGAACAATATAAATAATACAATATTCAAATGATTACTATATGAACAATATAAACAAGACAGTATTTAAATGATTACTATATGAACAATTAAAATAAAACAATATTCAAATGATTACTATGGGAACAATTTAAATAATACAACAAAAGATTACTATAAATAATACAATATTCAAATATATTAACAATTAAAATAATACAATATTCAAATATATTAACAATATAAATAATACAATATTCAAATATATTAACAATATAAATAATACAATATTTAAATCAAATTGATCAGGAGTAAATATCGGTTTGGTGGCTACTATCATTTAAAGAGAAGTGTTAACACGAGGGTGCGTTAATTAGCTCTCAATATAAACTTCTTCTTTTTTCATTTGAAAATTAAATTCCTAAATTATTAAGAAAACAAATAAAAGTACTGGAAGTGAATATAGATAAAAAAAAAATATGTACTATTTAGTCTAAATGTTCACATAAAATAGTACTGGAAGGCGTAAAATAAGTAAAAGGCACCGATTCAGCCCTGGTCAGTTTGTATTACTACACCCGATGTAAAGAATGCACATGTTATCGGTGCCGTGTAGACCTAAGCTTTGCATTACCACGGGGGGGGGGGGGGGGCGAATGGTTAGCACGTGCGCACTGTATCATAAGTGCGATTCCACGGTTGTACGTGACAAGGAGTAGGGTCGCCTGTCCAACCTCGTCGGTTTTCTCCAGGACCTCCGGTTTCCCCCCACTGTTAAAAAGACCCTTAATTATTGAATTAAGATTGAACATATGTAAGTCCTGAAATGATCTAGTTTGTGTCGAGTGGGCGTTAAACTCTAACCTTTAGTGGTGTAAACCGATAACACCCAACTAGTGTAGAACATTACACCAATTCTGGTGGAAACTAGCTGCCACTTTCAGTAGTGTAACCTGCCTCGGGATGAGTGTTGCACTCAGACATTCTGATGAGGAACTTAAATAATTTACACCCGTGGGTGTAGATAAGCATTAAAGGGACTATCCCGTATTTGAACAGAGTCTCAAAACCAAAAGTCTGAGTATGTGTGAAATTTAAGCGCCAAAATATAGAGGAATGGTGTTTTGACCTTATCTCAAAATTTCAACTCAAAATTTTGAGTCGTTTGGACGTGACCGTCAAAACTGCTTATCCGGACACGTAACCCTTTTAAGTTTTCGGGTAAATTCTTTCGTTGGGAGACCTGATAATCGATTCCCGTTCATTGAGAGGTCTATACAGTGAATGGCCCAAATGCTGTACTTGATAACGAAAGGTAAATTGCGCCTACACATTATTTTTATACAAAAAATGTCTGGTTTTATCTAGACACCGCATAATATAGCTTGGGACACTGGTCTCCATTTCCAGATGAAGACTGACGGGTTTCAGATGTTTGAAAATTTATCACAAATATTAAGTTAGTTGCTCGGCCCTTAGGTAGAGGATTTTAAGGGATTTTAAAACAAAATTAAACAGTTTTATTCTCCAAAAAATTATCGGGATTAGCCCTTTAAACTCAAAGGGTGTTTTGCAAATTACGCTTCCATATTAATTATTACACCACAGCGGGTGTAATTTGTTTTGTTGAAAACACTGTTGTAGAACAATGTCGGGTTGGATGTTTATTTCAGGCCAACGTCTTCTATAAGTTCAAAAACTTAAAATTGGCTATGGAGAGAGAGAGAGAGAGAGAGAGAGATGGGGTTTTAACGACCACTCGACACAAACTAGGTCGTTTCAGGACTAACATATGGTTTAATTTTATTTCAATAATTCTTTAGCAGTGGGAGGAAACCGGAGGACCCGGAGAAAACCTACGAGGCGACCCTACTCCTTGTCACGTACAATCAGGGATTCAAATCCACGCCAGTTGACTCAATAACAGGCCTTATGATACAGCGCGCACGCGCTAATCATTCGGCCATCCAACCCCCCTAAAATTGGCTATGGGTCTCTATGATAATATGTATGAGTTTTAGTCCGACCCAGATTACATATAATCGTCGGCTACTTCGCTTCATTTCACAACGACATTAAATTGACAAATATCAAACTAGACCGATTCAAATTTATCTGCTGTTGGACAATTAGACAATCTGTATCAATTTAGAATTAATAAAAGCCATGAGGAAAAATCAATACACATATCCTTACAACAT